CGTACTGGCAAACGGGCTCTCTAGCGCCATCGTTAGGAACGTTTTGAGTCCAAAAATCCCAGTGGTCGCCACGAGGTGGCAGTGTTATACTTCATTCAAAGCCTTCAATTTGGACAGATTGTGGTGTCTGAAACTTCTAAAATTATCTGTGAATGTATTAGAATCGTAAGGTCTCAGCGGCATCCTTGGGCTACTACTCATTATATATTTTTCAGGAATATTCATTGCCAAATATTCCTTCAAGGTGTTGCCCCTTTTTATTGGCAGGGTCCTGGAGAGAGAGTAATTTATTATTTACTATGTACAGAATACTTCTCCTGGCCCAAAGTTATCTTTAGAAATTTCACTAATTTTGCTAAGCTTTCAATCTTAACTGGATTGATTAACCATTCGGCTAGTTATACGTGCCATGACAGCTCTCAAATATCCTGAATTTCTCCTTATAAGAGGAGAATGAACATAATATAATCAATATAATGAATTAACTTAATTTTAATGGTGATCATGTCTAAATCCAGTCTCACCAAATTGTAGCAGTGAGTTGGACAGGTCAGATGTCCTTGGAGAAGGACCATAAACATATATTACATTCCTTCTCATGTCCAAGCAAACTGCGCTTGACCTCTCTGAGAGTGAGATCAAAATGATAGCCTAGCCAAAAGGAAACCCTCCTACACTGTTGGATAAGAATGTAAACTGGTGCAGCCACTATGGAAAACAGTCTGGAGGTTCCTTAAAAATCTGAAAATAGAGTTACCATACTATCCAACAATCCCACTCCTGGGCGTATATCTGGACAAGATGAAAACTCTAATTTGAAAAGACAAATGCACCCCAATGTTCATAGCAACATTATTTATAATAGCCAAGATGTGGAAGCAACCTAAATGTGACGAATGGTTAAAGAAGATGTGATATACATACAAACATACATATATATATATATATACACACACACACATTACTCAGCCGTAAAAAAGAATGAAATAATGCCATTTGCAACAACATGGAGGGACCTAGAGATTATCACACTAAGTGAAGTAAGTCAGACAAATATTACATATCACTTATATTTGAAATCTAAAAAATAGTACAAATGAACTTATTTACAAAACAGAAACAGACTCACAAACATAGAAAACAAACTTATGGTTACCACAGGGGGAAGGGGATGGGGAGGGATAAATTAGGAGTATGGAATTAAGAGATACACATCACTATATGTAAAATGGATAAACAACTGCATAGCACATGAGATTGTATTCAAACTGTATCTTGTAATAACCCATAATGGAAAAGAATCTGAAGCCATACACCTGAAACCAACATAACATTGTAAATCAACTATAGTTCAGTAAACTTAAAAGAAGAAGATAGCATAACCGCATCTATCACAAACAAATCCCAGTCACAGTCAGCTTGTTGAACCTCTTAAACAGTTTTTACAATGCTTGGCACAACAGACACGAATTTAAATCATGGGAACTACCTTGTTTAAATCATGATAGTGAGCAGTTACTTCCAAGGATCTTTTCTCCTGGTCCACAGAGGATTAACAGGAGGTGGAGATTGGCACTCCTGATCCCATTGTTTCCTAGTGAGAGAGGAAATTTCCTGTGTCCTTCCTGAATCTGACACTGCCTGATATGTACTACAAAGGAAGGCTCAAGCAATCCTCAGGGCTCCCATTTTGCAAGTCCAACTGAAAGTACATGAAGAACAAGCTTCTCTGTCTCTTAAAAGCATTTGGCTTTAAGCTGGTAGTGACAAAGACCTTCACCACATCCATTCTAATATATTTATCCACTCACATATTCCAGTAAAGGCAAGAACAGGATGGATAGTTCTTTATTTCTCCATCTTCAGCTTCACAGTGACTCTGGTGCTACCTACCATACCATTTTCATTTGCCCTGAACTTCAATCCTCATACCTAAATATTGCACTTCCATTTCTCTGATGATGTTATGGTACATTTTGCATCACTGTTAGTAATCCCTCACGGGTTTTACACTATCCTTTGCCACTCGACATTAACTATATCCTACAATCTTGGACCTCCTACCAGGGGTCAACTGAAGATTTCTTGACCCTCAAGTTAATCGTCCTTTTCCCCTACAACCTTAATAGGTGTATTAAAATAACTACCTGTGCTACACCTTATTTCCCCATTTATCTTCAGCATCCTTGACTCTAAACTCATCCAGGCTGGGATGATTGGAACAGATCTGATAGGTTAACTTAGGTGAGGTGGACGTGGGAGCTAGAGTAGGTTTCCCTGCTCCCAGCTATTGTTACTGTGCCACAAACCCTCTGTAGGAAGCCTGTCAAATTTCCTGCTTTTTTATTACCTCTCATCCCCCTGTTTTTTTTTTTAAATCATATAAACTGTTCTGCCTGATTCAGTATTTATTACCTTTGGTCTGGTTACTGTCTTCACCCCAGCACATCAGTTTAATTCTGCATAACTGAAAGTTCCTCTTCACTGGTAATGCCCATTACTAGTAGCTGTGAGAACAAACATGCCTTGGCATTCTGTGTATTTCCTTGTTCTTCCATTGAAAGAAGTATATGTGGAGTCCTTACACGAGGGGTTCCCTGTAATCACAGTATCCAACATAGTTTCAGGGAAGTGCAACATGGGTCATCATAAAACCAATTGGGTTGTCACTGTCCTTAATATTTTCAGTGCTTCCACAGAGGTAATTCATTTCACTGTTCGCGAAAGGAGTGTACAGTTTTCCTTCTCAGTGTAACTTTGCTGTATTCCAAACTTCACACAGTCCAAATGAGGGCATTGATATTTTATTTGGGTCCTCTATGGATCAAATGCTGAACACTGTAACAAATTGTTGATTAACAGTCATACCAAACAACTGTTTCCATTAAGTAGTTTCTAAAATCAACAGTGCCTTGGGTGTTTAGTTAGGGAATTCAAGAAAGCAGAGACTTCTTAGTGCTACTCAAAAATATAACCAAACTCCATTACACCATAGCCTTTGTTTTCCATATAGGTATACCTGATAAGGCTTGGTCAAAGCACACAAGTTAGTTCAGAGACCTAAGTAGATCCCACCCTCTCCTTGAAGCCAGAATCCTAGTCTTAGATTTAAGTACCATGAGCCAGCCACATGGAAGAAGAAAGCCAAATAGAATGAAAGAGAAGGCCAGCCTTCCCTGAGGGACAGGATAGGTTTAACACATCTGCTAGTTACATGCAAATGAATTAATGGAACAGAGAAGAGGAAGTCATATGCACATGACATTTTAATGTACACTGATCCTGCTTCAAATAAATACAGTTCAATC